TTCCAGATCTATCTACAAACAGTATTCCCCAGATACACAGGGGTGAAGGGCTTACTGGGATGAAGGCCCAGGGTGAGATTCTGCTCTGAACTTGACCTGAATTGAAGCAATTTTTTGTGTGTGCTGTTTTGAAGACGTTTGGGTGCTTCAAATATCTTCCTTCATCTCCTCTCCCCAGCTTGGCAAGAGCTAGATGCAAAAATACTGTAAGGCAGGCTTTTGCAAAGGGGGAATTGAGTCATGGGGAAGCTGAATGCCATGTATTTAAAGTCAGTGTTTGCCTTTAACACTTCACAAAGCTGGTGATTGGAAGAGGTGGGGAGGAAGTGACGTTGGATCAACTTCTATAACCCTGTAATAGTTGTGTAGAAACAACTGACCTGTTTGAGGTTTTAATTTCAGCTTTTGCCACTTGGCTGTGAAGCCCTAGCTTACAGACTCGAATGTGCCTTTGTGTTTGGGTGCAACAGTCTGTGGTTTCTTTAAATGCTTCCATAAAGCCAGCGGGCACTGGAAGAACTCTCTGGAAGTAAGTGGTTTTTGGGTATCTTTGTACACATGCTGTTATCTATGAGTTTCTTTTCACAGGGTTACCAGCACTGCCTTGATTGCACTAGTGTAGGGTCTGTGAGGACTGCGATGAGGAAACCCCATTTGGCTGTGCTCTCCATTGTCTTGGTGAGCACAGGCTGGCCTCTTCCAAAGCAGCTCTTCAGCCCTGGTGTGGTGAGGGGCTCTGGTAGCTGTATTGAAGCAGCACCAGCAGCAGGGCACAGTGTTTCAGTGTTTCTGTGAGCAGGGTTTGCCAGGATCTCATCCCTGCTGCAGAATTACTCTGCAGTCTCAGTTCTGCTTTTCTTGAAGTTTACTCTCTAGTGCTCAGAGCTGCAGGAGGAGCCTGGAAAATGTGACAGGAGAGTGAACCAGTGCCATGCTGTCTCCTTGAGCTTGCGAGGGCTGCAGAGTACTAGCTTAGAGGCCCTGGAACTGCTCCCTACCCTTCTGTCAGTCCTCTGGATTTTGTGATCCTTTGGGCATTGACGTGTGCTACTTCAGCCTTGTTCTCCTAGAATTTGCAATTCTGATACAGGTGGGAATTGGGTGGGTTTTTGTCTTGTTAAGGGTTTGCTTTCAATACCTTCTTTGAGAGGTCTTCAGTGGATTATGCGTTTCCTGAAGTACTGCATAGGAACAGCCTGAAGTGAGAGACTTGGGAATTCATCTTGCACCTAAGAAATGGACAATTTGTTACCATTCTGGAGAATGCAGTCATCAACATCTTGCAGGTTGAGTTGAGACAGTGAGTTACAGGGAGCCTGCCAGGAGGTGTAGGCAAAACTCAGGAGACCAGGGTGGAGAGACTTGTGTCTGTATGAACATGAGGTGTATGAAGGGGATGAGGTAGCAGAGATTATTTCTGGAAGGCAGGAATTGGTGCTGTTGCAACACTTAAGGATCCTTAATGAGGCAGTAGTTATTATTTCTGGGCATGGAAAAAAGGATACAAACCCCATCTTATAATCAGGAGGCTGAATGCAATGTTTTGCAGAGAGTTTCCTAAAAGTGCTTGTTGCATGCTTGCTGGTTTGATGAGAGCAGTGAAAGCATTTTGTTTTGAAGGGTAATCTCCAAAGAAGTTCTTTGGTGAACCTTGCATTTGTAGGAAATCAAAAGAATTAGCTTCTAGAATAGACTGTTTCAGTTGGAAGGGACCTACACCAATCATGTAGTCCAACTGTGTGACTACTTCAAGGCAGACCAAAAGTTAAAGCGTGGTATTAAGGGCATTGTCCAAATGCCTCTTAAACAGTGACAGGCTTGGGGCATGGACCTTCTCTCTAGGAAGCTTGAGTTTCAGTGTTTGACCTCCTTTTCAGTAAAGAAATGCTTCCTAATGTCCAGATATGGCATAATCGTTTCCAATAGACAGGAGGTGGGTTTGGATGGGGTCATCCTATGCAGAACAAGACTAGCAGAACGAATGACTTACTATGGTGGGAAAACCTGGTCCCAGGGTAGAGTTTGACTGGGGCTGTCATGCTGTTGGCACTTCCCTGCAGTGTAAACCTGGCAAGTTTCTGAGCTGATTATGTCTTCTTGACCTGTCAGGTTTTCTCCAAGTTTTAAGGGTGGAGTGAATCAGTGCAAAACACTTAAAATCTGAAGTCTGATGCGATAGTGAATGTTCTTTTGTCGTGATGCAGTACATGGCAGTTCTCAAAATTAGAATGAATGGAAGAGCAGATGGGCTCTGATCAGGAAAACCACAAATTGTAAGTCTCTTGGTGTGTGTTGCCTTGTGGTTTGCTTTAGTTTTCATTCAGACCAGCTTTAGAAAGTTAATATCAACCGTTAAACCTTTTAGGCTATCTTCCTTTTTTTTTCTCCTTTCCTCTGGTTTAGAAGTGAATAAAAGAGCTTTGTATGGTTCTTGAAACTGAGCCTGAATGAGCTCTGAACAAAATACAGTGTTCCTTTCAAAATCTTGGAAATAATTACATCATAGGCAAATTGGGCCAGAAACCGTTAATAGTATTCTTTGTGGAATGAAATCCCATGGGAGGACCTATTTCAGCAAAGTGGCATTGTTTACAAATAGATGCAGTGACAGATACAGTTGTCCCATTCTGAGGGACAGCTGAAGCCGTGCCTGTAATGGACTCACAGAGTGACCGTCTGGCTTTGGTAGCAAGCTGAGAACATGCCCGGGTGGTTCTGTGGCCAGCCTCGCGCCGGTGAGCTCTGGGGGGTGAAGGCTCTTTGGCACTGGAGAGGTGTTTGTAGGTGGGTCAAAGAGCAGATAAAAGGCTTTGTGGCCTTCAGCTGTCTGTGGGCATTGCTGGAGGGACCGGGAGCCGTGTCTGGATGTCCCTGCTGGGCTTCATAAGCTGGGAACTCCCTCATGCATCCCTGTGCAGAAATCCCTGAGCATTGCGTGCTTCCCCTTCACCAGCGTAACACATGCAGCACGTGCAATTCTCCCTATTACCTTACAGTCGTTTTCATCACTGGCTCTTCTTTTTCCTCCTTCTTCTTTTTTCTCCTCATTACTGGCAAGCCTTCTGCATTTCACGATAGAAAACACACGGATTAGTAATGTTAACTGCTTGACTAAACCTGCAAAAGCATTGAGTTCTCTAGGTAAATAGGTTACTCTGTGCTCGAAGGTTAGATTAGCAAAACCCTACCTTGGGCACAATTACAGCTATTCCTTGGTGATATGAAGAACATTATTGCCTACATATGTGCTTCCACAGGAGGGTGGGCCGTGTTCCTCCGTTGCCAGAGCAGGTCTCCTGGTAGCTCTCCACCTGGATAACAGGGCTGTGTTGGCAGCGACCTCTTCCAGGAACTGGGCATGTGCTTGTGAATCAAGCTCTCCAGGACATCAGCTTTATGCTGTAGGTACTAGGGAGAGGGCTGGGACCAGCAGTTGCTCTGGAGTTTTCAACTGTGCAACTCCAGGACGGGTCCCTGGGGCCCCTTGGGAATCCAGATGTTCAGGAACCCCACTTTGTGGACCTAGGGAGTGGAGCAAAACGGAGATGTGATGGTATATTACGTTTATTATTCTTGTCATGGGGCAGATGCTTTGAATCTCAGATCTGACATTTTGGGATCTTATTCAGATCAAATTAAAAATATAGCTCAAGTAATAAAAAAGTGATCATTTCATATGTGGTAATTTGAAAATGGTAATGAAGATCAAAATGCCCATGTCATGAAAACCAGTCTGGAGTGTTTGAGTTGGTCATTTGCTTTTTATGCTGGAAATCCCAGCAAAATTCCAGCTATGTCAAAATAAGTTCAGTTGTTGAAAATGTTAGCTCAGGTTTGGGGTTTTTTTGGTAAGAAAAGCAACCAAAGAACCCTGAAACCGCTCAACCACAGCAGCTTTACCTGAGCAAAAGGAGAGCAGCAGCACTGTTACCTTTTGAGCTTCAGGACCTCTGTGCAAGTGACAGTCCCTGTGCTTGGCTGATACTTCTGAGATAAACCTACGACTTTGACAGGGGAAAAACATCATTTGCTTCACTTTAAACACGAGAGAGTAGCCAATGACCGCAATAGAACTTGTGTTATGTGTGAATCAGCACAGGGAGGGATCCATAACACATGCACAGTGCTCTGCACGTGCCTGCCATAAAAGGAGCCACATTGATTTTAGGGGGTTGGAAACAAGGTGCCTGTAGAATTGTAACCTTTAAAAACACGCAGTGTTGCCCACATCACATCTGATCTGTCTGAAATCATACTCTATTTTCAGGTTTTAAATCAGTTGGTTTGTTTGTTAACCCAGCTGCTTAATCCAGACTTGAATTTTAGGATTTAAGATACATTGGGAAAATCAGGAATTGGGAAAGTCTCACCTGCCCTGTGTGTTCCCAGCTTAGAAAAGTTTTGTGACAATTTCTGGCTATTCTTTTCCTTCGATCAGTACCCCTGTCCTTTGCTCATTTTTATGTGCAAGGAAGTTTTTAATTGGTACTTCTGAATGAATTTCCTTTGGGAAGATCATGCCTTTTGAAGCCCACATTCCTAGGACTAAACCCTCCAAAAACACAGCAGGGAGGGGGAATAGAGACCTTAATGCTTGCTATCCGTATCTCCCCTGACATGCACCTTGTTTCTTGTGTCATAAAAATGGTTCATTTTCATAACAAGTAGCCTCAGTAAATCATTTAAATTTTGCTTTAGAAGTCTGGTTTCAGAGGAGAATTTGGATTGTTAACGAAAAGTTGTAAAACCCCTTTAACAGGGGTAAAAAAAAAGCTTTATTTTAATGGTAATACAGTGATTTTTAGGACTTGGCCACTGCATTTACTTATAGCAACCAGCAGTAACCTTATTTAGAGCAAACCTCCACTAGAGAGACTTCCTTATTCCACCAGAAGACTTTTCTTGCCCTCTTTCGTCCCCAGGAGACCAGCCTTGGCACTCTCCCTTGACAGATTTGCTTTCTGTTCTGCCTTTGCAGGAGGCTGTGAGGGCCGCTGAAGATGTCCGATAGTCTGGATATTGAAGAGAAACCTCCAGCCCCACCGTTGAGGATGAACAGCAACAACCGCGATTCTTCAGCACTAAACCACAGCTCAAAACCGCTCCCCATGGCCCCTGAGGAGAAGAACAAGAAAGCCAGGCTTCGCTCCATCTTCCCAGGAGGAGGGGATAAAAGTAAAGTATCAGCAATGCCAACGGGTTGCTCTGTCTCTGTTTGCCTCTGTCGGTTCTTGGTTACTGCGTTTAATTTCTGCCACTGTTTTCTTTTTGGTTTCAGTTGCAGGACATGGCAAAGTCCTGCCAAAACTTTCTGTTGCCATTGCTCCAGTAACATGTTTCAAAAGAGGAGGAGGAGGAGGTGTTCAGCCAGTGACTTTCTTGTCTTTGAAAATCCAGTAAAACGTGTGCACGTTGTGCAACTTGCCTTTAAAAAGTAACTTTATAGTGAAGCTGGGGAATCCTTTCCTTTGGCTTTGCATTTGCAGTAAAAGCAGAGATAAAGTTGTGTACTTTTGAAAACAGGTTTGCAAAAGTGAGAAGGCAATGTGCCTGGTATTTTGGTTTGGTTTTTAATGCACTTACATTCCAGGAGCAGGAGCAAGGCTCTTCTTGCTTTTGCAGCAAGAGTGGTGGCAGAATGGCTTGGTTCAAAACCTGCTAGGTGTGGTTACAGCAAGAGAGTCTTTTGAACATGCAGGAAACAGTATTTCAGTTGCACTCTTTTAACATGCATTTGCAGAAAGGAGTATGTTTTGAGTTAGTGTGTTTACAGAATTAAGGGAAGGGATTTTGTAATGCTGTGGGACCTGCTGGGCTGCCCCCACAAGTGCTGAGGAGCTGGCTGATGTCAGGGCAAAGCCACTTCTGATTGTCTTTCAAAGGTTATGGTGACTGGGGATGGTCCTGATGACTCTAAGAAAGTAAATGTCACTTCTGCCTTTAAGAAGGAGGATCTGGGGAACTGTGGGTCAGTCAGACTCATCTTGTCCCTGGGAAGCTGCTGGAGCAAATCCTCCTGGAAATCATTTCCACACAAATGAAGGACAAGAACGTGATCAGGAGTAGTCAGCAAGGATTCATTCTGCCTGAGGAACGGGCCCATCCAGGCACAGCCTCTCATGTGAAGGATGGGCCTGTTCCTCAGGCAGAGCTGGCTGGTTCACTCTGTAGAGTGCTTCCAAAAATGTCCCCTTTTGGGAGCAAAATTAACTTTCAGTTGGTTCTTTCTAAAGGCCAAAATTAAAATCTCTCCCGGCTTGTTTAATTCCTGGGAAGGACTTGGGTCACTTCTTGCCCTGACTACCAGCAGGGTGGTATTATCCCTCTCTGAGGGAATGTTTCTTAAGCAGGAGATGCTGTGTGAAATGCATGCAGAAATGGGCAGCTCTAGAAACAATCCCTCCTGGAAATGATCAGTGACATTAAAAATGTATTGAACTACCAGACAGAGCAGTCGTTGGAAACATACAAATACCATGATTTTAAATGTGGCTGCGAGGGAAAGTAAGCTAAGATTTATAGCTTAATTTTGTTGCTGAAATAATAAATAGAGGACATTTAGCTTGGCTGGCCAAGCTGCTTGAGGTGGTTTCATCTTGGGGTTAGTTTGCGGGTCAAACAAACCTGGCCTGGGTGTGCTCCACAGGCTCAGTGACACGTATTTGAGAGTCCTGCTTATAAAACAGAAGGTGATTGATGCGGCTGCTCTCATCTAGTGCAGTGCTTTGCAGCATCACAACTTCATAGTAACAGTCCACCCGTAGTAAACAGAACGTAAAGAATCCACCGTAGCAGGAGGAGTGTATTTTGAGGGGCATGTATAAGAAAATGAAATACCCCTACATACAGTCAGTCATTGCTACAAAGAAGTCATGCCTTTTCATATCATTTTGCCAGCTTATGTAAAACAGAAGTGATTCGAGTTGCAGGGCACAGACAGAAGTGTCAGGGATTTTAGACTGGGGAGGGATGAGGGTGTTTCAAGGTGTTTAATTGTGTATTAAATTTAGAGCTTTGCAGCATTCGGACCATAGGTGTTACATCCACAGTCTGGTAGGCAGAGGTTCATGAAGCAGATGAGCCAAATCCTGGGGAATGAGCTGGAACGCTTGTCCCTGTCAGGAGAGGCCTGGAATGGGCAAGTGCTGCGTTTGATGGAGTGCCTTATTTTGCTTCTAGATTTGACATTTGCTTTGAACTGAATTTGATGATCCTTTAAATCTAATTTTCACTGCATTTACTTGCAAATGATGAGGTAGGAGAAGCCAGTTTTATTATCTGCAATAGTTACATATGCTGAACGGAGATGACATCTTGTAACCGGCAACATCTATCCTGAAAATTAAACAACATCATCTTAGAGATAAAAGAAGGGGAGAAGCCTTTGCATTTGTATTTGATATATTGCTGCAGTATTTACTGAATGCTAAATGGAAATAATTCATCAATAAACATTGAATAGGGGTGTGCAGTGCAGACAGAAGGTGACAGTTAATTTTTTAATGAAGATAAATGGAACCGTGCAGAGAAAGGATTAGAAACATCCAAAATACTCTAGACTATAATTATGAAGAGCAGAGAATCTTCCAACTGAAAGAAGATACAGAGTAAGATCCAGCTATTTTTGATGTGCATACACATGAGAACTGGCCCTGTGCTGAGGGAACATGTCAGGCAGAGACAGGACCTGAACAACTGCTCCTTTCTCTCCTGCTGATGTGTAGCTATGGCATGTGTATTCAATTTTCATATCATCATTAATAAATGGTGATAGGCTGGCCTTTAGAGAGCCTGATGTCGAGTCCCCTTGTGATAGGCACAGTATAAACCTCTCATGTATCTGTGGGCACTGTAATATTTGTCCTGTTCCAATCATTAGCATATAATCTTTCCACAGTCTCAGTGTCAGATGTATTTGGTGGGAAGGCAGTTCCCCTCTCAGCTATTACAGATACACCACTGGCACTGGCGAGGATCCCACAGATAGCTCTGTACTGATAGATTATTCAACCACGTGATAGTTAGTCTTGGAGCACACCGGTTCTCTAGGGAAGCCAAATATTTCAGGTACCTGCCAGCAGGATAGATGTTTGAAGATGGGTGTACTCTCTGTTTATCCGGATGTCTGGGAGTGGTTCAGAATTGGTAGTATTGTCACCAATAGAAATCTCTATTGACCATGGATTCTTGATGCGTCAGAGTGGAGGCAGCTTCTCTCAGCCTTTATTCCACTCATTTTTTATCAGAATCAATAAAACTGGGCTGAAGTGAGATTTTTCAATAGTAAAAAGCAGGGGAGATGGATGACCACCAGGGATGTTACTTTCAAAAGATGGTAAAATGGGAGGGAGATGAGAAACATACGCAAGATTGAGTGACTTCCAAGTCTGTCTCCTTCAATAAGATACTTCACACTCTGTGAATACTGGTAGAGTGATTTAAAAACAAGGAATTCCTGGAGACTAATAAAGCCTGGCTTTTATGGCTATATGTCTTAGTTAATTAACAGCTCAAATGAAGCTTTTCCAATGGCATTTATGGGATCTTGTTGCTGTGCAGATTCCGTGGTTTCTAATAGAGAGCTGCTGCTTCAGCCTTTTAATCTGAGAGGAGCCTTCTCCTGAGCTGCCTGTTTTCACAGGGCTTGTAGGAACCTGGTTATCTTAAAAAACTTCTCCTCTCTGACTTGGCTGAGCTTGAAAACAGGTTCAAAGCGTGTTGGAGAAGAGACATGCATGCAAACAGGCATGCACATGTGTGTGCTGGGAGCTTTGCTTCTGCAGGAACCCACAGAGCAAAGTCAAACAGGGGTTAGTTGCTAGATAAAAAACCATGATGAAGAACAGAACTGATAGCAGAAATCATGCTGCTTAAAAATAGCCTAAGATGACTACTTCATGAACAGCTTGCTTTGGCAGCAGTGACACTGATTGGAAGAAAACCAAATGAGGTACCACCACCTAGACTTTCCCAGGCAGGGGTTGACAGGTAGGCTGGTGTGTATTAGCTTGGGTCTATTTGTCAAGTAAGATGGATGTTAATTGATTGGGTTTCCGCGTTTAAAGTACTGTTCTGAGCACACCCGACTGTGAAAATGTTTGAATGCAAAGCTGTGCAGAAAATAAGTGCCTGTTAACGTTTTGCCTCTAGCCAACAAGAAGAAAGAGAAGGAACGTCCTGAGATCTCTCTTCCTTCAGACTTTGAACATACCATTCATGTGGGATTTGATGCCGTCACTGGAGAATTCACAGTAAGTAACCACAGTGTATTGCGTGCTTACCAGAGCTCCTAGTTTCTTGATGGTGAAATAACCTCCTGTTGCCAGAAACGTCAGATGACAGCAGCCAGGCTGTGAAGAAGGAGACTTTTATTTGTTGGGCTTAAGATTTGCAGTGGGTTACTTCTGATTCAGGCTGCTTTATGGGTTTTTTTCTCCAAGGATTGTCAGCAGAGTGTCTGTGGCAAATGAAAACTAGGAAGAACGTAGGTGTGTGCTTTTATCAGTCCCACAAGCTGCTACAGGGGTTGGTTATTCAGTGTCTTGGGGAAAGCATAAAGAAACCCACGCACATGTGCATAGTCTGTGTCTGGCTGTAGACAAATCAGTCCCGAAGTGCAAAGTCCAACTGCTCTGCAGACAGCCCTTGGAGACACCAGACAGCAGCAGCGTTGTGGATGTCCGTTCATTTTAATTTAATAGCTTTCAAAATATGTCCATAGGCCAGGTGATCAGACACATGTGTTGATAAACAGCAGTCAGCTTTTTCTACCCGTGTCACAATGAAAAATGAGTCTGATAGAAGCTCCTTGAAGTGTGCAGGGGGCTTCAAAGCATTTTCTTTCAGACCACTAGTTAGGTGCTGAAACCATTAATCCTTAAAGCTAGGGTGGCAGAAAGCCTACACTTGGTTGAGCTGTGGAGGGGAGAGGAAGCATTAGCAACTCTCTGTACCATCAGTAGTACCCTGTGAGCTAAGTGGTCAGACTGTGTTACCACCATGTATCAGATTGTAGAGTGTGCTAGTGATGACAGGCTGCATACACCAAACAGGATGGGACAAATCATTTGCCTGGACAAAGGATGGCTCATTTTCAGAATTTGAGTCCTAAATGTGACTTCTTCGTCATTTTTTACTCTGATTGCTGCTTTTGGGTCTCAGGAACATTTCAGAAACTCTGTGGCTACAGTAGCAATAGTAATAATAACAGTAGAAGAAAAGACACATCTAATGACAGCATGTCTTCAAAGGAGTAGTGGAACTGAATTATCCTTAGTAATGAGGAAATACAGCTACGTTTAAAATATGCAGACTAGTTCATTAGCCTTTATAAAATAGATGTCACTTATGCAATCTTACTTCAAAATTTGTTCTGTGCCAAACCCTAGGGCTTGATTAAATGCTCATTTAAAAAGCCCAGATGTGGTCATTTTGATCAGAATCTTAGCATAAAGCTTTTAAAATTGTGTTTTCCCTGCTGCCTGTCCTGGTTTTCTTCTTATTTTTCTCTCTGTCTCTCCCATGTAGGCACTTTGTTCTGGTTAATCTTCAATGCCATTCTCTTTATCTTGGTATCATATTATGTTACTTCCTGCTTTTGGTTTCTCCCTCTTGTATGTGCATCCCTTGCTCTTGTTTATCTTCTCTTTTCTTTCTTTCCTTCCCCATTTCACTGCTCTTCCCAGTGTTCAGCTGTTCTTATTCTACATTTATTCTCATTTCAGCCTTCTGCCTTTATTTCTACCCTGTGCTTCAGACTTTTTCCTTCTAGCTCTATGCAAACGTGATGGGTCACAATCATGTTCTTTTGTAGACTGACTGGTAGTGAGGATCCCAGTTAGTTTCAGGTCCCTGCCAGCTGGATCAAGAAGGGGGGATGTTGAGGTTAATCCACTTGAGTTCTCAGCACAAACACTCTATCAGTACTTCAGACATCAGTTTGAATGTTTTGATTATCATCCCCTGTGTCAAAACAGTCTGTAGCATCAGAGATTTCCGTTATTGTTTTTAATTGATTTTTGGTGTCCAATGCCACCAGCACAGGTCCTGGCCTTTCACAGAACAGAGTGATGATACAAGGCTAAACATGTCCAGCTTTATTGCTGTAGCACAACTTCTTTTTAATATCTTTTTCCCTTTCAAAGCAGCAGACAGTAGGTGGCTGCTGTTTTACAATTACACAATACTTCTGCAATAATACTTGTTCCTAAAGTTCCTGTCAGAACCCAACTAATCCCAGATGCAAGCGTTACGTTACACGTGACATTAGGCGTGTTTGATTTGTCCCAGCCTGGACACAACCCGTGTATCAGCTAGGTGGTTACGTGGTAAGTACGTCCTGCTCAAGGGACTTCCACTAGCCATATCGTGTACAACTATTCCCACTGTCTATCAATCACACTGTCTGTCTCCTTCAAAAGTTTGGAAGTGAATGTCCAGTAAATGTGCAAATACGTGGGGTTTTGTTCTGAATTATTACAGCTGTCATGCCAGTAGTGTCTGCTCCACTGGTTATGTGCAGTGCATCGGGCCATTTCTGACACCTGACAGTCACCCCCCAGCTGCATTACCTGACTGCTCTTAGTTGCATCTCGAATCGAAGTTGCATGGACAGCTGAGTTTCACCTTTCAGGCTTGAGCACCAAGCTGCATCATGGCTCATGAATGCGCGTTCTATCTTCATTTCACTGTGCTTGGAGCAACCACATTTGCTTAGAAGGAGAGCTTTTAAAGCTCAGAGTGGAATTGGTTGGAAACTGTTGGGTGGGAGCATGCTGCTAGAGCTTTGTGTCGGTTTCTTTAGAAGGAGCAGTTGCATTTTCTGAATGGAGGAAGGAGTGTGGTTTGCAGGGCTTTGGGGAGTGCATTTTGTAAGGCATGCGTTTTTGAAACAGTTTCCTGATCCCCAGTCTAGAACAAAATGTGGTCACCCACCAAACTTTTAAAGTTGCAAGATTATGACATTAGCGAGTGGGAGGAAAAGTTGTGGCTATAGATCTAAGGAAGTTACAGGTTATTAAACTAACCAGTCATTTCTTTAGAATTGTCCTGATTGTCAGTCTGACACACACGGGTTACTTGTGTTATGACCATGCCCAGTCTCCCAGTGTGAAATCTGAGTTTGACCAGCTGCTTTCTCCACTGCACTTTGTTGACTCGTGCACTGGCCAATCCTGATCGTGGGGCTGGAGAACCATTGGAAAACACTCGTGTAGAGCCATTAAGAAATGCTAACCTGGCTTTCAGATGAGGCAAACAGCAAAAGATCTTTCTCTATTTTTATTTTTTTTAACTAAAAAAATCACAGGTAATTTTTCCAGTCACTTGCCTTGAATCCTCAGTGATGTATTTTTATGAGGGAGAGAAAAACTGGCTTAAAAAAAGAGGAGGGGGAATGATGCTTCCAAACTTTGGAACAGTTGTGATTTTTCTGTGTTCCTAAGCCTGCCTTCCTGTAGCCTGTCCACCACCTAATCCGTTTGTTATCTACCTCGTAACTCCCATTTTAGATGGGATTTCCCCATTTTGGCCCATTGGTTTCCTCCTGCCACCTTCTAAGTTGTCCCACATTCTGTTTTAACTTTCTTTTCTTTCTTTATTTACGTCCATTACAGCCAGATCTCTATGGCTCACAGATGTGCACAGGGAAGCTCCCAGAGGTGCGTCACAGGCCCAAAAGAATCTTGCATCAAAATGCTTCTTTGAGATGTCATAGCACTGCAGCAGCAGGTTGATGTGTGTGCAGTAGATTTGTTGCTTGGCTTATCCCACTTTTTTTTTCGTTAATCCTAAACTTTGGAGGCCCATGTCACACATTGTTTTGTGGAGAACTTCTTAGGAAGAAGCTACATTAAAGTGTTTCCTAGATTGGGGTGGCACCAAGGCTAAGTTTAAATGTGCTTCAGGTGTAGTTTCTCAATCAGTAAGTCCTACAACTTGCTGGTAGATGTTGGCTGGGCAGTAAGTGGGGGAAAATTACAGGCTTTTGAATTTAGGAAATTATACTGGATATTTAAAGCAATTTTCCATCAATACCCTTCCAGTGCAGAGCTGCAGCTTTCAGCAATTGGATCAATTTTCAAATGCCACCCTCGCTCCTAAGATGTCTGAGAATTCATCCAAGCCTTGGGCACTCTCAGCCTGTTCCGAGTCCTGGTTTCTGTTTATTGACAGTAGAGAACCTACAGAGCTACAGGAGCTCGAAAAAGAGCCGTCCTCAGCAGCAGGGCTACAACTCAGGGTCACGATTTTGAGGGTTTAAATGCAGATTCTTAACCCCACAGTGCTCCCTGGTACACTGAAAATTAATTGTATGAGGGTGGGGTTAACCTTTTAATCAGGCATCAGTGAGCATCTGACAAAATGTGTTTGCGTTATTAAGCATTAAAAATCCAGTGTAAAGCTCCTAAAATACACTGTGTTGTCCACAAACAGAATAGTCTTGTTATGTCTGCACTGAATCACCAGGAAAACAAGCTAAGCCTTAAATCATTATTCCATGGAAGAGCAGAGTTGATTTAAAGACGAGTTTCATGCACTTTTTTTCCTATCACTGTCATAACTTTCTTTTCTTTTTAAAGTTGGATCCTGGTTTTAGCTCTGTATTTTGGTAGAGAAGAGAATGATTGCATCTAATGTATAAGCTCCTAATTTTACTTGTAAGGTGTCAATCAATATTTCTGAAAGTAATCTTACAGGTAGCATGGGATCTTGGTAAAGATCTGTGAGGCTGTGGCTGTTAAATACTCTAAACTTGCATTCTTTCCACTTGACACCTACAGGGCATTCCAGAGCAATGGGCCAGGCTACTACAGACCTCCAACATAACAAAACTGGAGCAGAAGAAGAACCCACAAGCTGTTCTAGATGTTCTCAAATTCTATGATTCCAAAGAAACAGTTAACAACCAGAAATACATGAGCTTTACGTCAGGAGGTAAGTCGTCATCTCACTGCGAAGAAGGGAGTGTCAGGCCCCAGAATGAGTCAGACCTAAGTTCCCCATTCAAGTGGTCAAGCAGCAGTCTTAAAATACTCCTGAAATTAATTACATTTCTCTTTCTGTCCCATAAATGTCATTGAAACTGACTTTCCTTTGTTGCTTGTTTTCAGAACTAAGTAAGATGCTAGATGGAACAATCGTTACCATTTTTAGTCAGAAGCATTGGTGGCCAAAGGCCACGTTTACTTCTGTTCCCCCTCGTCCTTGTTCCTTCACAGTGTTCACAACTGGGGTACAGGGTATACTTGCTTTGTGCATTTCATGAGTTATGCTTCCTTTAAGCGATAGGTTGTGAATTATGAGGATTTTTGGCAATACTTTGTGATAGAGGAGGATTTTCCAGGATTTTTATGCAGTAGCTGTAGAGAAGTTCCTATGCATAATTCACAGACAAACCTGGAAAGGCTGCTTACATTGTGATGTGAAAGGATGTTGCCACAGAGGGTGAGCAAGAAGGAGTCAGTGTCAAGAGCAATCTCCATAGCAGAATCCTCATGATTTAGGCATTACCATCCAAAAGAAGCCAGCAAATATGATGGGGGTGTCGTTCTTTCCCTTCCTTGTGTAGAGTCTGCAAAACTGCACTGTGTGTGCAAGACTGTGCTGCAGCTTGGGGTTTGCTTTATTTGGCTCATTCTTTCTTTTATTTACTAGACAAACTCCTGCAGCTGACACAGCGAGGAAGTAGCAGAGGGTGTAACTAGGTGCAGCTTATCTGGCTTTTGTGTCAGTGTGTTCTTTTGCTATTCCTTAATAACCGAGTTGATTCGTAAACAAAAGTGCCATTAAGATATCATAGTTTGGTAAAGCTGGTGTCAACAGCTTCAGCTAATAAGGGGGTGTCTGTCCAACAGGGTGTGGACAGCATTTGTAACTTCACCTGCTGTGGGTCAGCTCCATACACATGGAAGCCTGTGGCAGCAGAGTCTGTAATTTCCTCAGTTTGCTGGTTCAACCAGCACAACTTCCAAAATGCAAACTGGGGGAGTTCCCAGGAGTTTTTTTCTGGGCAGTGACCTCCAACTTTACCAACATTGCTCTCATTCTGAGGGAAAGCATCTTTTTCTTAGAAACTCCCATTGACTCTTAAACTTGACACTTAGGTTTGCTAAAATAGCCATTGCTTTGTGATGAAATGCAACTTTTAAAGCAGTTAGTGTATGCTCCTGAACTCAGGAGCTGCTGCTGTGCTGTGTCGGGACAGAACTGCCACTGCTAAGGGTGATTCTGGGGAAGCTTTTATGGTGAAACATTTTCAGCAAGTTAAAGAGAATCAATGCATGCAATGTATTAACCAAAAAAAGGAAATAAAGAAAAAAGCTGCTTTAGCTCTTGTGTGGAACAGAAGCATTGGCTCTTCAAGAACAGTTTTGACTTTGTTGACCAAGTTTCTATTTATTTTATTGACTGGCAAAACAGGAAAAAAAATAGACATAAGAAACTGTAGAAAAATAATAGCTTAGTATGTTATCCTGTTACCTTGCTTGCCACATCAAATAACTGCTGCTAGTGGAAAGATGTTGTCCAAGAAAAATGCTATCTATTCGAATTTATTTGTTCTATGGGATTCCCCAAAACAGGCAGTTTTCTAACAGCATCTGGTTAATCTTCTCTTGCACACTGCAGATAAAAGCGCCCATGGATACATAGAAGCCCATCCTTCGGTGAGTGTGAAAGTGAGCTCTTACTATCATAGCATTTAGAACTGTGGAGCAGGCTGTGAGTTTTGCTTTTGTGATCAAGTGCCAGCCTTGCAGGCTGAGTGGCAGTACACTGTAGTGCTGTGAGTGGCAGTACACTGTAGTGCTCTGAGTGGCAGTACATTGTAGTGCTCTGAGTGGCAGTACACTGTAGTGCTCTGAGTGGCAGTACATTGTAGTGCTCTGAGTGGCAGTACATTGTAGTGCTCTGCAGCAGCAGAGCGGGAATCACTGGCTGTTTTCTGTCTAAGATCTGTTAAACAGATGCAAGCCTGGTTCTGCAGACAGAAGATTGCTTGCTGTTCTTAGCCATGGTGGAATGTGCAATTCACAACAATATGCAGTGCTGTCTAATTAGCCCATTTTAATTTAGTTTTAACAATTTAGAATTTGTTTCTGTTAAATTTTATGATTTATCCTTAGTACAGCTGGGTGTGTGGCTAAATATATATAAGGTTGTAATTGATACATAACTCACTGGAACCATTGAAAGGAAGTTTTAACTGTTCACCCACTCTAATTAACTCTGGCTTACCATAGCAATCCCAGAGATGTAGCCACAACACCCACATTAATATTGACCAGATTTATTAGTGTTAATGTTAGTGCATTAAATAGCAAATGACCAAATGGGGATTGGGCCTTTATTTTCAAGTATTAAGCAACTTAATTTTAGGTCTGTGATTACACAGCAGAGAGTGTGTATAATGGAAAGAAAATTATCGTTGAATATTCCTGCACTTCAGACATTCAATAGATGCCAATTTCATTATCTTTAGTAAAACACACTTTTAAAAGGAGGTTTGGGGTTCACCAGAGCATAGTAAGCATTCCCAATAGCTTTGCCAGAGGGTATGGACACATGGCAAATGCTGTGGTATTTTGTTCTAGCAGACATCAAGAGTGATGAGACAGTCAGGATGTCAGCTTTCAAACGTTATCAGCTCAGGTCGCTCCTGTAGGACGTCCCTTACTGATCTTTATACTGGACTAAATTGATCCTGCTTTAAAGATAATACAAAGAAGATGTGAATATATGGAAGAGTGCCTTTGATTTGCTTCGGTTCTCCGAGTGGCTTCTTGTAGCCAGCTTTAAAGCAGTTGCTAAACACTGAACAGGGCACCTTTTCAGTCTTTGTTTCACCAGCAAATCTGTGACAACATGATACACCCCCCTGCCTCTGAGTAGCTGCTGGGGGGGGGATGCACCTTGCTCCTGAAAGGGCTGCATTCACCCTGGGTTATTGCTGTGGTCAGAAACAGGCAAACAGTAGAAAGATCAATGTGTTAATTTAGGACTAGTTAAGAGGAGGATGAGGCTGAAGAAGGAGCTACTAAACAGTGAAATTAAGCAGGGTGGAAGCAGGCAATACCTGCGGGTAAACCAGTAAAGGAACAAACAGCCTTTCTCTCTTTCTCTCCAAATCCAAATTCCCAGTAAGATGCTGAAGGAGGCTTTGCGCTTCTAAGTGTGTTAATTAACCAGCCAGTAGACACCTGTTTGCTTAATTACCTGTTACCATTGCTGCAGATACAATGCCAAAGCAATTAGCCAGCAACTGCATGGGATTTCTCGTGATAGATTCAAGCATCACGTTCTGTGAAATTAGACTTCGAGCACAGGAATGGTTTAGTTGTTCTTAGCAAAAAATGAAAACCACCAAGACAAACGAAGACAACAGCACAGTAATTTGTAACCTTTAAGTTGTATTGTGCTGTGTGTAACTTGGAACTGAGGCCCAAAGGGCTACGGGCATGTCTAGGTAGGCTTCTGGTGTCTAAGCAGACACCTACTGAAGTCGTGTGCAGTTACCAAACCTCCCGAGTGCAGAATGGTGACTGTCATTCATGCTGCTGTCTGTCCACAGAGCACAAAAACAGCATCAGAACCCCCACTAGCTCCCTCTGTTTCTGAAGAAGAGGATGAAGATGATGATGAAGAGGAAGATGACAATGAACCTCCACCAGTTATTGCACCACGGCCTGAACATACAAAATCAGTAAGTCCAGCTTTGGTCAGCACTATATTTGGTGTAATTCAGAGCCACATGTTTCTGATCAGACAGCACTTGCCATTCTGGGTGAAGGCTCTGAGGGCCGGAGTCCTACCATGACACAGTGCTTCACCCAAGCTGCTAACACCAGGAAAAACTGGTTTGAACCTTCACACTGAGTCATGAGTTCCCTGTGATGCTGATAGGGACTGTGATTTCATCTTAGTATCAGATAAAAGGTGGCATTGTCTCTTCTAATGCTACTAGTGTAAAAGTGAGCAACTTTGTCCAAAGTATCTGTGCAGGCTCTGTCATCACTGGAGAGAATGGTCATCCGGTGCAATTCAGACCTTTTCAGGATCCATAGGAGAAACTGTTCCCTGGAGGTACCTGTTTCTCCCCACAGACTATATAAGTAGCTAAATGAACAGCTTAGGCTACACCCTTCAGTTTTATGAGACTGAAGTTTGGTGAGAAGAATCCTGTGCAGCTATGCTTTGTAAAGAGAACGTAGGTCTCTGAATGCAGTTCCTAATTGCCACTCCCTAAAGCTTGAAATACTCATGAGAAGTCAGTTCAACAGTGATGATCAGAATAGGGAAATGCTCCCTGCTTCTGTTTCAGACACTTAATAACTAAAGAGTCATTTTGTTACTCATCAAAAGACATGAGCATCACGAAAAAGGCTCTGGGGCCCTGGACAGGTCTGTTTCTGTATCCTTCCAACACAGTAAGTTCATTGTTTCAATTATCTTTCAGAAAAATCAATGAAAACTGAAAGTGAAACTGGCCATGAACTTGTGTCAGACTGGCCTTTTGGTTTTGCCTGTTCAGTTTGAGAAGTGGACAGCAAAGCCGAACATTTTAAGAGCCCTGGATGTGGCAGACAGCATCTTCCTAAGGGTTTCCGTCACATCAGTTTGAAATGTGGTCTCAGGGGCAACTGTGCAACCACCTGACACAGGGTAATTTCTTGTCACAGATCTACACGCGCTCTGTAATTGAACCTGCCGCTGCACCAGCACCAGCTAAAGAAGCCACCACTCCCCAACCTGAAAACTCAAACACAAGCACTTTGTACAGAAACACAGACCGGCAGCGAAAAAAGTCCAAGATGACAGATGAGGAGATCCTAGAGAAACTGAGTATGTATCCTGTATTTCTTGCCTGCTGAAGCAGTGTACTCTGTCTGTGTCTCGGGATTGTGTGCACCAAATGGTCGTCCTCAGTTTAGTGTCAGAGTTACTTACGGTGCCCTACACAGACTTAGAGGAAGCAAGAGCTCACTCCAGATGTTCCTTCTGCCTCTGAGGGCAGCTATCAGTGGGTTGGATTTGCCTGAGCTTCCTGCTATGCTAAAGGCAAAAGCAGAGATTGTTTCTGGTTGAGCAGAGGGCTGTGACCTAGTGAACTCCTGTGTGCTAGTGGCCAAATGGAACAGGATATTTGGGTGCTTAAATTCTCTTCAGACTCCTGAAGTCTAAAGAGAATTTTCTTGGAGCCAAAATACTTTGCAGGAATCTGTTGGGTCTGGGGGTTCTTGTTTGTTTGTTTGTTTTGGGCTTGTTTTTTTGTACCAGTAGACAGCCAGAACACTCAGCTGATTCTTTAGCCTCAGGGAGCTCTCCTCCCACAGATACTCTATTGGTGTCATTTTTATGATTGTTTTTACTACTTCTGCTAATGTATCAGAGTTATGAGAATTCTGTGTTTCTGTCAGAACTCCTTCGAAGTTGACACCATGGATAGAGAGGAAGAGGTGTTCTTAATGTGCTCCAAATGAAAGAAAAACAACCTTTATAACAATTCTTAATTTATTTCTTAGCTTTGTGCTTATAGAGATGTATCAAAGACATACATCTACGTGGTGTGATCGGGTAGAAGTGCACTGCAAGCATTTCTCAGGAGCCAGCCTCCAACACATCCACTTGTGTATTCCTCACATACATGGCACTTTGTCATAGCTAATTCCCAGCCAGTTAATACTATTAGAATCCTAACTATTGGCCCCAAGCCCCTGTGCAGATCATGCTCTAGGAGAACACATCAAGCCCTTTGTGATTCTGCAGTACAACCAATTTAATCTACTTCTTGCACGTAATAGCTGCCAGTGCCATGCTCCCAGATGATAAATTGTTGTGTTCGTAACGTAGCCCAGTTTACTCTGTGTCTACCATTAACTGTTAGGACAAAAAGTGGGTTGATCTATGCCTCCTTGTGTTTGATCTCAAAGCCAATAATGTTCTGTCTTTAATGGGGGCAACTGCTTGTAAAGGGGTGCAGTCTGGCTGTGGCTTCTTCCCAGTGGTTGTCAGTTCTTGTTCTTGTGCTGACACCAACCGTTTTGTTATACCTGCCCTGCCACTGGTGGCTGCTGTGACTGCAGAGGCTGAAGCCTTCCTTAGCTCTGAGATTTCAGCTGCTTTTGTGGAGTTTTCTGCACCTGCAGGTTGACAGGACTATAAAGAACTGAATCTCTATGCAGTTAGGGAGTATCCAAGGAATAGGTTCAATAGCTTTAGCTGAGGGCACAAGGAAATAAATTCCAGAGCAGATAAGTTACCTGCAGGTATGTCAGCGTATAAAGGGAGGAATTACAGCTGCTGCAGCTGAGGATAAATGTTTGAGGCAAGCTTCCACCATGAGATGTGCAGGTACCCTGCATACATGAATGTGGGTATGCCTGTCATTGCTCAAGCGTCTGTGTCTGCCAGATTAGGGCTGAGCCCTGGAGTTATTGTGGGGTTATATCTTTGGAATGTTACATGCTTTCATGCTTTTTCTTTCTTATGAATTCGATACCAAGTGAGCAAGGTCAGAAGGTCTGCCTGGGGCAAATTGTGATGTGGACAATGAAAATCTTTCTGGGCTTTCATGAAGCTGTCTGAAAACAGGGGTGATGCTTTTTTGTTGTGGTCCTGGGCTAATAAGCATGTGTGGTGGTTGGGTTTTTTCTGTTTTGGTCCGTTTTAACTCTTATGACTTCTCCAGCTGCCTACTTCTGCACAATCAATTTTATGCTACTTTCAGGAAGAACATCCTCTGCCCTCTTTTATCTTCGATTGCTTTCATAATTCTATTCTGCTTGAAATAGCTTTGGTTTTTTGGAACCACTCTCATTGCAAGTTTTACTGGGGAGCAAAGCCTGTAATACTGAGATAAGATCAAACAAAATTCTGCCTGTAATGAAATCATGAATATGTTCCACAGTAATTATAAAACAGAAGTGGCCCAATTCTGCTTCTTATCCACTTAATTTAGGACTTGATAAAGGAAAGTGCTCAAAGACATCGAAACAGCTGATATGTTTATCTTGTGTCCAGAGTAAGGAGTGCTGCCCTGAACTGCAGCCATGTACCAGTCACTGTGTTGATTTTAGTGCTGTCATATTAGAATGGGCATTGCCTTAAGCACAGGAAACCAGCTACAAACGACCAACCTGTGAAAGCAGCTACTCCAGCTTTGAGGAAAAACTCCAGAATTCTGAACTCCAAAATCGGTGGCAAATTTGGAAAACACTTTCTCAAAATATTTGTTCTGTAGTCTTGCCCCAGTGGGCACCCCTGGTGTTCCTGCAGTGCCAGGGAAGGGGAGTGAGTGCCACAGGGCGAAGGAAACCTCTTCTCCCGCAGCTCCCATTAGGGATCTTGCCAAGGCCAGCAATGTTCTTTTAGCAGGGAGTGTACCAGATGGTGCTGATGCCCTGTGTTCTTGCCATGCTGGCAGGCAGGATTCCTGGCCAGGCATCCAGTCAGATGCCCATTTGGATGCTAAAGCCCTCTGCTCCAGAGGAACGGTCGGACAGGACGAAGGTATTTGTTACTACACTTACAGTGAAGGGTGCTCACCTAGTTTTGTTTTGGATGCACAAGTGAACAATTAAGTGTGTGTTTGTGATACAGGAGTAGTGCCAGTGAGTCAAAATACGCTGCGACACACTGGAAGTCTTCCCTCCTCAATTAATCTTCTTAAAGTGTTTCAGTGATGTGCTTTTCCAAGTCAAATCTTTGGAAGTCATTTGCATTGACCCATCACGTTAGGCTTCATTGTTTGTACTTGATCTAGGAAACCACTGGACCAGAAAAAAACATCTTGTTTTTGTAATGATTCCCTCAGATTTGAGCTTATCAGATGGTGGCTCTCACATTCGGTACAAGCAGAGCAGTGCATGCTTGAACTCCAGCTTTCAGGGGCACACGAGCTCCTCCACGCCGATGGACCCGGCGTGCCGCATGCCTGGTGCCGGACAGGCCGGCTCTGCCTTCCCGCTGCTCCAGCGCGGAGCTGCCGGGAGGCGGCAGCACCCCCCGTCTGGCCTGGCTCTGAAGGAGCCACAGCACCTGCACTCAGCAAAGCAGCAGCAGCTCGAGGGTGCAGCTGCCTGTGCAACGCTGGTGCCTGGGGAATTCTTGTATCCGTCAGGGCTGTGCCTGGGGAGATCAGTGTGTGCTCCCGGGAGCGCGAGTCAGATGTGAGTTACTGATCTGAGACGAGCAGTGTGGTTTTAACATGGCACAGACAAGGTCGTCTTTAGAACCTAGTGATAAATTATGAGGGTCATAGTTCTTAAAGCCCTGTAATTATTGATTAAAACATGAGATGCTCTTTAAAACCATAAAGGCATTCTTCTGGCAAACTGCTGAGAGGTTGAGAAGATCCCCTCCTGGAAACACTTTGCACTATTCTTCCTGTTCTGAAAATGGCACCTGATCATAAAAACTGATTCCAGAACACAAAGTGCATTTAATCTTCTGAACTATTAAACCTTCTGCTGAATCACACACAGTTTTTATTCATAAGAAGTTAAAAGCTGTGGTGTTCCCGCTCTCATTAATGTCTGTAGTCAACAAACACCTGCATTAGTACTCGTTCTTTTCTGGTATCACTCTCTTGTGAATGTTTCTCCATGTTCTTAGTCTCCTGTCAAGGTGACTCTGCAAAGGGCTGTAGAAAATCAGTCTTCATGGAGGCCATCAGTGCCACGGAGCTGCCTGTGCTGGTGGTACCCAAATGGCTACACACAGCTCACAACCCCAGACAGCGGAGCTGCGTTTCTGATCTGCTGGAAGGTGGTGTCTCCGTTTTTAAGTGAGCATCTTTCATTCTGTCTCTTTCAGGGAGCATTGTGAGTGTGGGAGATCCTAAGAAGAAATACACTCGATTTGAGAAAATTGGCCAAGGGTAAGTCCAGTCCCAGTTACTTACACAAAAACATGGGCCGGGTATTTTGCTGGTGTCATATCAAGCATGAAATCAGGCAATCTCTGAAGCCAGAGATAAAGAGCAGTAAAACCCAAAAATTAGTAATAAACACAGTGTGGATCTGCAGGTACTTGATGAGAAAATGCATCATGTGCCTGAGGACACATCCTGGATCCTGCAGGTTTTAGGTGTTTACTGAAAAGAATCAACAAAGCTGCTCCCTTTTGAAACCCAACTTTTCTTACTGGAAATAGGATTTGTTTGAATTATTTCCTATATGAGCATTCAGGAAGAAAAGAACTTACATCAGAATTAGGCATCTGATTTGCATTTTGAATGTCGACAGACTCCCTGCTCAGTCAAAGTTTCCTTGGCTGGGCTGTAGTTCCAGGAGGGCTAGAGCCATGTGTGTAACCCCAGGATCACACTGCTGTCAGCATAGGACAGAAGCTGTTCGCTGACATCAGGAGATAGTTTTCTGCCTTAGCTGTTTGTGAGGTTTGAGCTCAGGGCAGCATGTGCTGACCTGGAACTGATGCACACAGCAGAAAGCCAGACACGCTCATACTCTCTCTGTGGCAGGCTTCATCGTAGATACGTCTTGTTTGGTAGGGCACTTGTGGGAAGGTGTTTCGGCTCCATTCGCTGTATAAAACCCCTTTCTCAGATGGCAGATTGCTTCCTACCCAAAGCTTTGGTTCTTGCTGTCGTTTGTGAAATGTCAGTGGACACTCAGAGCTGTGCCAGTCTCTCAAAAGGTGTCAGCTGAAGAAGTGGAAGGCAGAATAAGTGTGTGCGTGAAGCAGATTGTTGCTGTCACCGTGAAAGCAGGACCATCACCCTCACAGTCTTTTATTTGACAGTCCTAGAAGTGAGCTTGAACAAAGGTGCCTCAACAACTGGTGGAAAGACAAGTGGCCAGTATCTGGCTTAGCACGGGATCTAAACTGATTTCCTTCAGCTTTTAGTCCAGCCGGAAGATTGCATGCCCTTCTTAGAGAGGAGTGAGTGTGCTGCTGTACCCAGCCCATGACTAATGCCACTGGTCAGTTTACAGTGATGGGGAAAGATCCTAAAGAAAGAATCATCACAAAGGTAATCAGACGAGGTGATCACAGGAACCAGCCTGCTGCATGGCTGGGGTAGCATGGCTGCCTGCAGCAGGGCTGACATGCAGCGCCTCAGATGGTGCTGATGTTGATGCAAGTGCCAGTTCCTGAGCTGCCCACCTTTGCAATGTGTGTGTATAGTCATGTCAAAGGCACGAGTAGTGTTGGAAGTGAGTAGTTTTTTAGTAGCTGCTAATGAGAGCACTGCAGGGCAGCAAGAGACATGGCTGCTTAGAGAACTGCAGCTAGAGAGCTTGACCAGCATGTAGCACCTCATGGCCTCATACAGCTGGTAAGTTAATAAACAGTGTGACAGCTTCACAGTCACTTTGCAGTGAATAGTTGTCAGAAGGTCTGTGCTGAAGAACAGGTCAGCTTCAGTGCTGAGTCTCTGGTTTGTCATCAGTCTCCAGCTGAGGACTGAAAATGCTGCTGACACTGGAGGAAACTGGGTTAACTCGTGCTTGATAAAGAGGCTGTGTTTGCTCAAGCAGTGTTAACTGTTGCTCGAAAGACAAATGAGTGTGGAGCCACGGGCAGCTTGGGTTCAGGCTGGTTTTCTAACTTGCACTGCACTGCATCACAGTGACACAGATCTAATTGTGGGCCCTGGTACTTGCCTGACTGCATTAAACCCAAGATACTACAGGAGCTTTTAAAAGTTAGATACAGATCAGGAACTGTAGTTGCTTAGAAGTAACATTTGGTAATGCACAACTGCAGAGCCCTTGCAATTAATTCACAGCTTTACTTAAATTACTCACCTTTATCTCAACTCCTCACTGATGGCCTGGAGCAGAGCAAAAGCATCCTAATTTAAATAGCTGGTTTTAAATGAACCCTGATAGGACTTTGCTGAGGAGCACAGCACAGCGTTAGTGAGTCTGAATAAATGGTGTTGGCTTTTTATGAAAACAAATTGGATTAATCTTGACAATTAGTCATAGGAAAGTGCATTTGCATTTATATTAAAAGAATACACGGCGTGCCCAATGGGAACATTGTTCTCGACACAGACACACAGTCTCTGTGCCTGTTGAATTACAATGCTTCCAAGTATTTCAGCCTGCAGGTAAACAAGCCAGGGATCATGTCAGAATGGGCAACCTAATGTTGGTGTTTTCAGTCAGTGGGACACTTGCATGTTCCCAGAATTCCCACCCTGGCCTCACTGCCCATGGAGGCAGTGGGCTTCTTAAATGATGGGGTTTAGCCCATTAGGGTTTACAAGCCCCAAGTTGTTTATAAACCCAAAAGGATTTCCTCTGATGGTGGCTTTTCCAGCCCTTCACATCATTACAAGGGAAGAACCTCTTGCAACAAGAGGCAGATGGCAAACAACCCCCCACACTGTCTAGTCTGCAGGTGAGCACACCATCTACTGCTGGTGGCTCTACAACACAGCTACTGCCTGCCACAGAACCAAAACATCAGCACCATGAAGAGCCCTTCACATGTCTGGTGATGGAAGCAGCTGCTGATGGCTTTTGACGCGCAGAGAAGCTGTCTAGAGATCCTCTGCTTTGAGCAGGTCTCCATCTGTGTGTGAAACAATATGTCCCTTAACCTGCCGTAGCTGTGAGCTCACAGGATGGCTGTAGAATTGTTTCCTTTGTGTAACCCACAGCCACAAAAACAGGGGAGGAAAAACCCCAAAAAGCAAAACTGGAAAAAATGGAAAAAGAATAAATATATGATTTTCCTTGTTTTGTACACACCCCATCTTAAGTTTTGAGCTAAAATGATTTAGTTTGAGATTTGTACTGGCCTTTTTTCTTCATGTTGGACACAGTTTTATCTTGGGTACTCTGCATTGCAGAGGGCTGGTGCGCTGCTGGCTGAGGGAACAAAGGTGTTTTTATTTATAAACACTACAGGCAGCAGAGATCTGGGCTTGTTTTCACCCACAGGGACTAAACTGCTTCTCCTTTCTTTGCTGCTGTTCTGTTTCTAGGGCATCGGGAACTGTTTATACAGCAATCGACATTGCCACAGGACAGGAGGTGAGTGCCAGCAGCCCCAGTGCATTTTGCAGCTATTCGGGGCTTTCCCCTGTGGTGCAAACTGTGGATGGGGCTTTTGGGTGCCAGTAGATCTTTACTGCAAAGATATAAATACCTCTGAAGCACAGGCTAGTGTCAGCCTGCAAAATGCATCTTCTGCTGAGGCTGTTCCTCCTAAGTATGGACTAGTGTCAGTTGGCAAAATACATCATCTGCTGTCTTCAGCTTTTCCGTGGAAGCTCTTTAAGGGCAGTGTGATTCTGTGCCTCGGTAGCTGAACACTTACTGTGGCCATCAACTTCCCAGCAACCATTACACTGAGGTGCTGATTAATGCCTGAAGAGGTGCCTGCAAGTTCCTTGGGGGTGTCCTGCTCCCCCTGGAAGCAGTAAGAGCCTTGGTGCTTTCTGCTTGGGCTGATGCTTCACCCATAGCTTTTAACACCAATTGTAATGGAATTATGGTTTTATTTATATACTACATTTTACTACATACTACATTTACAGCATAAAATCTGCCTTTGGACGTGGCCACAGATGGGTTAGCAATCCAAATGGTAAAACCTAAAGATCTGTCATAACGTGAGGCCTCAGGAGAGCCCATGGGGTGGTCACAGGTTCTCCTATTGCTGTGAGGAGTAAACAGCTTCATTACATAACTTAATTCCAGACATGTCCTTATTAGCAGCCAGAAAGAATGCAGGGAGGAAGTGGTATCTTCCAGAGAAGGACACAGTAGCTCTGTCTTAATTACTAAATATATTAATGCATCAGCTAGCTGATGGAGGCTGCCAACGTTCAGTCCCAATTTATCTTAATCACAGGTTCAGGCAGTAATGCTATTTAGCATTTTTCCCATCATATACTTTGCCTTCAAAGCATAATGTGAGACCTAATTAAGGAGAGATCATGTTTAGCACACAGGTTTGTGTTCTAGTCATACTGAAGCTGGTTGACACACACACACTGACAAATGAGAAGACATGTATCAAGAGCAACAACCCATCTAAACCTTACAGCTGTGTTTAGGTCTGGTGGCAGTGACAGCCCGTCACAGCCTGTGAACTGCTCACAGGGAAGTGGCTGGAGCTGAGCTGGGTGCCAGGGAGGGAAGCTGGGCTGAGCCCAGAGGGATGGGGCTGGCAGAGCTGGGCGCAGGGGGGAGGCCAGGAGAAAAAGCTCAAGTGGAGACCATGGGGTAGATGGGACCTGGCAGAGGAGGCAGGATGGGGCAGAGGCAGGATGGCTGCAGTGGTGCAGAGCAAAATGCATCATATTGGTAATAAACAGATATGGTCTCTTAGAGAATCCTATTGCTCTTTGGTGCTACAGCTTAAGACTCCTGATTTACCACTTCTGGCTGTCATCAGTACATCTGGATCTTACTGGTAGTTTCTCATCCACCTGCAGTGCTGCACTTTAGAACTGCTCTTAGACAGAGTCTACAAGGGGACCTAAAAGTCCTAAGCCCTGCTTATAACCCTGGTTTTATCCATAAAATACCACAGAATGGATTAATGTTTTTTAGTCCAGGAAGTATTTCCAACTCTAAACTCTGTTAAAGAATGTTATTTAGAGTTGCAAAACCAGAATGGAACAAGTTAGGAAGTCCTAGGATTGGTTGTGGGGTTTTCATGTAACCTTGGTGATCTTTTTGTGCGAGTGTGTGTGTTTTCTTTGTGCAGCCAAGTCAAGTGTAACAGCAGTAGCCGAAATAATGATCAGAAATCATAAAATTGCAAAAGTATTACCAGCTGGTTTTAGATCTTTTCACAGTAACAAAAGCACTTCCTGCTTGCAAAACGTGCATGAATAAAAACAGTGGTCATAAACGAAGGCTTTTGAGAGTGTAGATCCAGAGAGTGGTGTTAGAGATTGGTGGCTGAGAGTTTAAGAGACCATTTTTGTAAGGCAAAATGTATATGGCCTTGTCTCCTGTAACTAGCACCCAGGCCTGCAGAGAAACAGGGTGTTCTAATGCAAGTTCCTAAGCTCTTAGGCCTAATAACAAGCAAGTTTGGCACAGCTCTGCTACGTCATTCCAAAAATGCTCTCTCCATGTTCATTCTGACCTCGTGCAACAGACTACTCAAGTTAATGGTTTTCAATGTCATTTTAGGTGGCCATAAAGCAAATGAATCTCCAACAGCAGCCCAAAAAGGAACTAATTATTAATGAAATCCTGGTCATGAGGGAAAATAAGAACCCCAATATTGTTAACTATTTAGACAGGTAAGTAAATGGTATTAGACAGTGGTATTATCACGTGCATGTTCATTTCCATACTACAAGCCAAACATTAAAAACCCCTTTGGATGCTGGCAGCAAATTGACCTCTTTATTATTTATCTACTCGTATACAGCGTATGGGAGGACATTGCACTTTGTCTGCATTCATCTCTTCTGGCATCTGTAGTTTGAAGACTTGTTTTCAGAAACCTGGATCAGCTGTATCTTACTGACACAACAGCCCTAGTTGCACTACCTCCGTGTTGCTTTGCTGGGTGGTTTTGTTTTGCTGATATTTTTCAAGTTGATAATATTTTCTGTGTCTTATAAGAAGTGCTGATAAATCATCTTAGAAACTATTTCCTTGGGCTGTTCCCACTATTTCCATGGCTGTGGGTGCCAGGAAGACTGGGTTCTGGTTTCCAGAAACATGTAATTTGCCAGTTTTTAAACTGTTTTCCCTGTTTCTGAATGTATTTTATGTAAGGTTTTCCAAACTGCTGACCAATTTCTGTCCTCAGTGGTACACACCCTCCTACCATGGACAACTTAGAGCTGCGCTGCCTTGTTCCTGGAATTAATCATGGAATTTATGTGTTAAGATGAAGAGCCAGATGATGTGCTATGTCCTGGTGCAAGATTTATCTGTGCCATTACGAAACTGCCTTTTTCACTTGCTTGCCACCTAAGACATCTTATTTTGCACTTACGTGCTCTCTGATTTAGGCTGCACAGATTCAGGGTACTGTATAGCCTAGAAGGAATGAGCTGGAAACACGACTCAGCTGTAGTCTTTTGCATAAGGTAACTCAGCTTTGCACATTCATCTCATGCTGCTGTGTTCTTCTTCCAGCTACCTGGTGGGTGATGAGCTCTGGGTGGTTATGGAGTACTTGGCTGGCGGCTCTTTAACCGATGTGGTTACGGAGACATGCATGGATGAAGGACAGATAGCAGCTGTCTGTAGGGAGGTAAGGGATCCCATGGGTGCTTCCATTTACTTGCACAGGATGGTGCTTCTAAACAGATGGTAAGAACATGAGTGATACCTTGTTCAGAGCTTTGTTTCTGTGTTGCTTTAATAATATGGAGAAGAAGGAACAACTTAAGTGAGCTGCCTGCCAGTATCACTGCACTTATTGTGCTCTGTTATTCTATACTGTTACTGTACTATCTCTTCTTTAGTTCTGTTCTCAACTTTGCCTCTTTAAACATTTGCCTGGAGCACGTCTCTACTGCATTCCTGGCCTGTAAAAGCAAACATGCTGGTGGCAGAGTTTTAAAATAACAGCAAAGAAAAATAGAGGCTCATTTATCACAGTCCTCAACTTGAAGGAGAGCATTCCTCCCAAAGTGGTGTTTGCTTCTGAAAAATGACTAATGTGCTATTTCCAACCTGCTGTAGAGCCTAACAATAAAATCTTTGTCATGCACCCTCCAACCCAAAAGTGATCCACTTCGTACTGGAGGACAGGACTACCTCTTTTTTGGCAAGCAATAGTTTTTCATGTGGATGGAGATAGCGTGTTCGCTGCAGCAGCAGACTTCTCTCTGTGCTTGCAGGGGATAGTCTCTAGCAATAATTGTCATTTCTCTTTCAAAAGCTAATTGCCTTCACGTAGAAGTTGTAAGTCGAACAGTGTTGACGCAGCACGAAGTTCCTCTTGACAGCACAATATTCTGCCATTACTCACAATTCATCTAGAAATTAAATCTTTTAGAGCCATTTCCTTTCTTGTGTGATGAAATCAGGTCATTAATTTTTACCCTCATGTTTCTTTTTTATCTGTCAGTGCCTGCAAGCACTGGACTTCCTCCATTCAAACCAAGTGATTCACAGAGACATCAAAAGTGACAATATTCTGCTCGGAATGGACGGCTCTGTCAAATTGAGTAGGTATTCTTGGCCAGGCGCAGCATTCCCAGGAAGTGGTGTGGGGCTGCTTCTGACTGATTGCCAGTTACCCAAATGTGCTGCCTAACTGCTGCTGCAAGCTAAGAGCACAGTTCCAGCCTGCAGAGAGGTATAGAAGGGAAAAAGGTGTGAAGAGTAGCTTTGGTTTTGTGTGTCCTTTTCAGAGGGAGGGAGTTACAATCTACACCTTCAGGTGAATCAGAGCCACTGCGTGACACTTGAGGGGCTGTTTTAAATGGCCAATTCAGTGTTTCCTTGGCTGCAGCACTGACTGAGCAGGGCACGGCTCCTTTTCCAGAGAGATTCAGCAGCACGTTCTCGGGCATGTAGTGGGATTTCTTCTGCTTCAGCCTGGCTTTAACAATACTTGTTTTTCTCATCAGCTGATTTTGGCTTCTGCGCTCAGATCACCCCTGAGCAGAGTAAACGGAGCACAATGGTCGGGACTCCTTACTGGATGGCACCAGAAGTGGTGACAAGAAAAGCATACGGCCCCAAAGTGGACATCTGGTCACTTGGGATCATGGCAATAGAAATGGTGGAAGGAGAACCTCCGTACCTTAATGAAAATCCTCTCAGGGTAAGGTGCAAATAAAATCAGATACTGCTCTTTCTAACCTGTCCCATGTTTTGTATCCATGAGGCAGAATCCCATCCCATCAGCCTGAACCAGCTCCAGCAAGAGCTTCTGAAAATGACACTGGAACGTACCAGTGTACCTGGTAGTTTTGGTTACATCAGTGGCAGGACCTCAAAGGAGGAGGGACCTGTAGCCAGTTCAGAAATGTGCCATTTTTGCCTTCAGAGGTGCTTGAAATTTCTCACGTGGTTTTTGAATTCTCTGAGCTGCATCTGAGTGGCAGGAATTGCTCAGCAGCAGGTTTCTCCAGTTGGGGAGCTTTTATGAAGAGATTTCAGCTGTATCTGCAGGCAGAGCAGACTCAGAGCAGTGGCGATGGCTTACCTGAGCCTTCCCGGAAGTGTCACTGGTTTTAGGAATGCCAGAATTACTCATTACCAAATACATTTCTAAAAGTATATTTTAGTCAGATACTCGCAGTGAACTAATGTATTTTTAATGTTTTGAAGTTTTCTCTCTTATCCTCATGCCTTAAAATGACTTTTCCTGCAAAGAGAGAACCCCAGAGTTCATTTGCTTCCATGGAAAACTCTTGCAAAAAATGCATTTGCCTTGTATAAGGCAGCAAATACAGATGAGGAGAATTAGCATTACTGGTCTGAATGCTGGAAATTCCCAGCTTCCTTAACCTCAGATGTTGATGAGGGCTCCTGGAAAAGCCCCAGGTTAGAAAGATAACTGGATTTCTTATCTGACCAAATTCCTATTCAGCTCTTCCTGCCTTCACCCAGATTGAGATGCTCTTTTCTCCATACATGGCTCATCTCCTGCTGGGTTAAGATCAACTTGAACACTCAGAGCTGCAGGGCACCTCAGGTGTCTGGGAAAAGTTGCAGTACATTAAAATGGGGCATCTCAAGTCAGTACCATCTGTATAAGCTTGTGGCCTCTTCTGCAGAGGTTGCTGCCCCTGAGCTGGGAACAGTGAAGAGCTTGTGATGGACTGCCTGAAGTTCCCCAGTTGTCAGGTAGTTTTATTAAGGGAGATCAACCCCAATAGGGACAGGATCCATCTACTGTTGTGCATGGAATCAGAGACTTCAGTGAGAGGTCTCAGCTGCATCCAAACAGGAGAGCTTATAAGCAAGACCTGTTTTTTATAGCTGTGTTTTTTAGCTGCTGGCACACAGTGGTGGTTGGTTTAATAAGCACATGTGGACCATATTCAGGGAGTTCTGCAAAGCCTGGAAACAAAAGGATGCTCTTTCGTTTTTAAGAACGATTGTTTTAATAAAGGAAGGCACACAGGAGCTTCAGTTACTGAAACTCATTTAAATACATGAATAAATTATAAGGGCAATAAAGGATTGTTAATCATAGAGTGAACAGCAGTCTTGATGCAGATGCGTTTGTGTTTCTGTGTGTAGAGCAGACGTGTCCCATGTTGTTCAGGTTCTTTCCAGCCTCACAGGAATGAACTGTTTTCCAGCCATGAATGTCCTGGATATTTCTGTGATGGTGTTTGTTTTCTCTCGCTGTGATTTCCTTCCATAAGGCATATGCCTGGGGCCTGGAGGACAAACACTGGTGTGATAAATACCCTTTGAAATGTAGGTTGGACCTCCCCAGTTCCAATTTAAAAAACCCAAACCCTCACCATTTCTGTTTGCTTTTTCATTTATTAACCACAGCACATCAATTTCCTTCAAAACTGTAGCATATTTTCCAACTGCTTTGGATCTTCTACAGTTTCAGGCTTCTAAATCATCTGTATATTGTTCTGTCATGTATCTGGGTGGCCTGGATAACTTTAGGATATCATTTTCACAGACTGCAGCTATAATTGCGTGCCAAATCCTTTCTTGTTTCTTGGTATGTTAAACAAATCAATGAGCTTATTGCCCCTTTGCAGCTACTGCAAACACTCGTTTCCTATGTACTGCTCTTGTTTTTCTTTGCTGGCTGTATCATAGGAAACCAAAAGATGCATAAGAAGCCACTTCACCTTCTCATGGACCTTTTCCTGTAGTCCTAGAAGTATTTAAAAGGTGCAGTTGCAAGCTAAAGATGACTCTTCCTTGCAATTAATGTGCTGTGAAGAAACAAACCACTAAAAAGAGCTCCATTTGTCCTGGCACCCCTCGTTCACAGGCAGGTGAATGTGGCTGGAGTAAAATCTCCAAGGTTGACACTGGTGTTCCTTTACCACAGGAGAAGTAACGTCCCTTGGGTAGCACAATTTCAGTGTAGCGAGGACAACACTCCAGCTCAGGTCAGCTGCAGATGGACGGCAGGATAAGACTGATGTTGTGACATCTGTGTTGTGGGAAAAGTGCAGAAACTTCCTTTTATTGTTTTTACCCCAGGATAGTTCATTTGCCTTTTTAGGCTTGGAAATTTTCCTCTGTGTTTAAGAGGATAATAACAAAGTCAATTCGGTCACGGTCTATTTAAACGCCAGTTGTACAGAGCTGTTATTATCATGGCAGACATTTTTATGGAAGACTCCTGGGCCTATTTCTATTCTTATTTCTGTGTATTTTAAACGTATTCTGTGAGTTAAAGTTTAAATAGTTCAAAATTATTTGTCTTATGTTTCTAAGTAACATCTTGCAAAACCAGAATGAATTCATCTCTCCAGCTCCTCAGCGTGTTAGACCTTGGTTACAAGAGAACCACGCTGGGTAACGCTCACCCTGTGTTCTCCAAAATTACACTGTAATTCCCAGGCCTATGGAATATCAGGAGGACTTGCTCAGATTCATGAGCACTCATGGAAGTGAGCATTCATGGCTTTGCTTAAGAAACGTAAGCTTAGCTTAGGCTAGCTGCTGTTGAGGAGAAGAAAGGCTGGGATTTCCAAGTGTTTGGACAGGGCTGTGTGCACAGGTGAGCAGCTGGATGCTTACGCACATCGTGGAAGGGAATCCACAGAGGACTCAGCAGATACTCCCAGTGCTCAGGTAACACTTTATTTTGGGTTTTAAGTAGTTCGGGCTCTTCTGCCTGTGAAGATGACCCTGAAAACATGAAACAAGTGTAGCAGATGTAATCTTACCTTTAAAAACCAAACCAAAACAAACCCCCCAAACCACCCCACCAAAAACCCAACACCTTCCTCAACAGGGCTTTTGAGAGATGAATTGCCCCCACTTCTTCTCACTGGAATTTGCTGGGAACATGAAGATTGTAGCTCAAAGGCAACATCATCTGTTCTGTCTCTTGCTCCTTTTTGCTGAAACACTGAGTGAACATATTTCTTTGATAGTTCACCTTCTCCATGTCACCAGCCCTGAGCTTTCAGTAACCAAAATGTCAAAACCTCCCACTTCTTCCCTGGCAATTTCTGGTATGGGGACATCATTAATGTGTTTACTTGAGTATCCAAATTAGCACAGGGCTGCCATAGTGATGGAATTACTCATTTCCCTGCTTAGACCAGTAAGTAAGTTTTTCTTTTACCACATAAGCTGACCTGGAATTTGGAGACTGCCGAAAGACATAGTTGCAGGTGGCTCCTGTCTGTTCGGTTACACATTTTCTTCATAGTTGTGGATGCAACTTAACACGTGTGTGTTGAAAATGAGGTTCCAAATGTTTCTGTTTCTTTACCCAAGGAATAAGCTGATGGATTTACTTTTTTCATCCAGTTAATGTTTGTATTAAGAACAGAGCAAGAAAACTTGGCTGGCTTTTGTTCCATGGAAGCTGTACTGTAGGGACCAGTGAGCACTGCAGAGACACATTTTTATGTAATAATCCTTTGAAATGATATAGTTGGACCAAATTTGCTCTTTAAAATAGCCTGTAAAGCTAGTGTCAGTACTTAGAGGAGCAAAATGTGCTTTTGCTGATGTAGTTCATACTAACTAGGTCAGGCAATGAAATCAGCTGTCAAGGCAAGATCGTTCTGATGCTGGAATAGCTGTGGCTGCATCAGGGGTTTTTTGTTGGTACAGAAAAATCCTCTCACCTTCAGCCAGGGAAGAAGCTGCCACTGGAGACAGGACCTTAAAGTGGGGTCTGTAGGAGCAGTTATGGATGTGACAGACACAGGAGGAGTCTGGTGTTTCCTTCTTCCCTAGGCGCTGTATCTGATAGCTACCAACGGGACACCAGAGCTGCAGAACCCCGAGCGACTCTCGGCTGTGTTCCGAGACTTTCTGAACTGCTGCCTGGAGATGGACGTGGACAGGAGAGGGTCTGCCAAGGAGCTGCTGCAGGTACGGTGCGAGTGGCTCCGAGTGACACAGCTCTACTCTGGGATGGCTTTTTGTCAGCTGCACTTGAAGGCATCAGATGGGGCCCCTCGTATCAGTTTCCAGCACTTTTCAAATGGGAAATGAAGTAGAAGCATAGAATGGTTGGGGTTGGAAGGGTCCTTTTAAGCTTATCTAGTCCAGCTCCCTGCCATGAACAGGGACATCTTCAGGTTTCTCAGAGACCCATCCAACCTGGCCTTGAACGTTTCCAGGGATGGGGCATAAACCACCTCTCTGGGCAACCTGCTCCTGTGTCTCACCACCCTCACTGTAAAGAAATCTCTTCCTTATATCTAGTCTGAATCTCTCCTTCTAGTTTAAAAACATCACCCCTTGTCCTGCCACAAGAGGCCTTGCTAAAAGGTCTCTCCATCTTTCTTAAGTATTGAAAAGTAAGGTCTCCTTGTAGCCTTCTCTTTTCCAGGCTGAACAATCCCAGTTCTCTCTGCCTTTCCTCACAGGAGAGGTGCTCCATCTCTCTGACTGTTTTTGTGGAGTGTTTTGTATTTTGATAGTATATTCAGTCCTGCTGTGAAGGTTCCAGCCAGCACAGTAAGGGCAGTGCATGGGCTGCTGGGTACTGCTCAACTCAGAGCTGAGCCCATCAGTGCTCTGTCACTTGTCTGCCTGCTCTTGGTGCTGGAAAGCTGTACCTCAGTGGCCTTTAGAACAACACGTGGGCCTAAATTTTATTGGGATAAAAGTTTCCAGAAGGTTTCTGTAGTTCCCTGAGGAATGGCTTATGCCCCTCATCTTTTTTGGTAACTGAAATAGTCCGTGGCTTTAGAAAACAGGAATCTAAGCAAGTATTTCAGGTTTCCTGAAAGGAACAAGGCCCTGGGACATCTAACAGCATTCCCACAGCGCTGGCAGGGTAAAAACTCCAGCAAGCTGAAGACTCCTTGATAAATGGATTAGGAGGATTATGGACCATGTTTGCCTGTGATAGCAAGGTCCTGGACACGAGGATGCAGATGGTCCCCTCAGTCCTATTTCTGCAAACTCCTGGTAACCAGAGGACGACTGCTTGAGCCTGTGAGTAACCGAGTTTGGAAAGTAACGGTTCTCTTTTTCCTTTCGGCAGCATCCATTTTTAAAGTTAGCCAAGCCTCTCTCCAGCCTGACTCCTCTGATCATTGCAGCAAAGGAAGCGATTAAGAACAGCAGCCGCTAGCGCTCCAGGCCGGTCTCCCATGCCAGCTCAGAGCAGGACTGAGAACAGAGACTCTGTGAAACCTCAGCTCTTGTGCTGCGGGACAGGATGGATGAACACACCAACGGTCACAGTCATGGAGGTAGGAGGGAGAACAACCCAGTCCCTCGAGGAGTAAAACTTATCATTTGTCTTCTTCCTGCTTTCTGGCTCCTTAATTTATTTTTAAGATGAAACAGGGCTTAAGACAGAGAGGTAATGACCGAAAATGCTTTGCTGCCTCCACCATTCCCAAGGTAAAGCAAATTCAGTTGGAAGATTCCCTTCCTTCTCACCCTGTGAATAAGCTGTACATTCACTTTTAAATTGTCAGTTGTTTCTTAAAGACAGAAAGTCCCTTTTATGGGTTTTTTTTTGGTACGGTTGGAATTGGAGAAGGGTCTCCTTCATTCATAAACTCCAGACTGCACTGCCTTTTGAATACAGCCCCCTCGCTGGTATTTGCCCAGTCATGGTACTTGCATTGTATTTCCAACCAAAATCCAATCGAGTGGGGCAGACAAAACATCCTGTTGAGATACAGGTTTTCAACTGTGAATATGTAGTGTTTCGGTTCTTGGCAGTTTGGTTTGTATAACTAATTGTAATCGGTTTGCCTGGTGCGAGTCTTACTGAAGTGAAAAAGCAGAAAGGTCACTCACTGTGCTCGGAAAGGGCTCAGCTGGTGCAAAGCTGTAGGAGAAATGTGAGAGCAGGCCCGGCCCTGCCTGGCGCTGAACCCCAGCAGACCCCTTGCAGAGCACAGAGCAGCCTCAGCACCCGCAGACCCGGGCTGCAGGAAGGTGATGGGAGCAGGCCGGGGCTGGGTGCATCCCTCTTCCCGGGACTGGAATAATCATTCTGTGTCGGAGCCAAGCTGGCAGTGGGCTGCTCCCGAGGTGAATCCTGGCCATGCTGTGGAATGCGCAGGCTGGTGGGATTAGCTGTCTTGAGCGTGTGCAGGAGTCGGGTCGAACAGAGCTGGGTGGTGGTGTCACATCAGGATGCCTGCTCTCCCGGAGCTCCTGAGAAGGGTTCGTAGTGGCTCTGGGCGGAGGGTGTGGGGCTCCCGTGCAGGTGAGTGTCCTTCAGGCACACGAGTTCTGACATGGAAACTCAGGCTGACAGCGCGTGAATGAGGGAATGGCAGCTCAGATACGTGTGGACCAGGGCTGCAGCCACCTCTGGAGGGAAGTGGTTAAAACCTGGGCCTCTGAGCAAGAGCCAGCGTGTGGGATGCAGAGTACTTAGCAGACACACAGGCACCGACTGCAGCTCTGAGTTGCTGGGAGAGAGGGAATCCTGGATGTGAGTGAGGATGGTGCTTGACTAGTCCACTGGTTTGTAAGGGAGCAGAGTAGTTGAAGTATGCAAGTTGTGGTTTATTTATTCATTTCTGAAAGAAAGGCACAATGTGGCTTCACTCTGAAAAAGCCATGTAGAATTCCATGTAGAATTCCATTCAGCTCCTGCATGCACACCCGAAAGCCGGCACAGGGTGGACCTTACAGCACTCTCACTTGTGTCCAGCACTCCTGTAAGTACATGTGTGTTTATTCCCCATCTCTGCACACAAATGAACCCAGTATTTTTATAGCTGTTTGTGCTGAGTTTCTTTGAGACCAGTGGCTGTGTGTCAGCAGGTCTTTCAGTCAGTCCTGCCACCGAAAATGAAGCACATTCCAGTCACCACAAGAAGGGAAGTAAGTACCTGTCTCCTGTCCTCTAGTTGTAGGAATGTCCCCATCCCCTGGTGTCCGTATGGGAGTTATTTCCAGTGTATGGTCAGTGGTGTGGCTACTGAGTATTCCTCACACTGAGCAGGTAGATACCCATCTGTCCTAGTCCAGGCCTGAGCAGTGAGCCAGGAGCCCTTACAGACAGGAGCCGTGTTTCCTTGCCTGACACCAGGACACGAACACCACTTCACCTTGCCAGGCGTTAGGGAGTTAGTGGTCTGCACACCTTCCCGGCGGACTGTTGTTCATTCATGTGCAGACGTGCAGCAGTTTAAGGGTGGGTGATGGGGAAGAAGCTGATGACCCATAAATGTAAGTGTTCAGCTTTTCTTCTCCCCTCCTCCTGACCAGGTAAATACTTTTAATTTTAGCCCCCAGGTTTCAGGAAGCAGGCAAAGGATGACCTTTGTGTCATCCACCCAAGGCTGCTTTGAGTGTGATTTGCAGTTCAAGGATCCTTAAAACTCTCTTTGCTTCTATCTGTCCTTGAGCTGACAGGGTAGTTTCTTCTCGTGGCTGAAGCTTGCAGGATCTTGCTTATACATCCTCTCTGTGGATGCAGTTTAGAGCCGATTGCTGTAATCCTCAGCATGCGTTGACTGTATAAACCATCAGTGGCCTGAGCCTACCAGTGGTAGTGAACTTGTCAGAGCTGGGTTAATGGTTGGACTTGATGAGCTTAGAGGTCCTTTCCAACGTAAATGATTTGATTCCAGCTGCTGGATTCATGTAGTTCCATATTAGCAGCACAGGTTTTATCAGAAAGTTTACTCTCAATCGGCTCTTGTGGCCAAAGCTACTTTAGCTACTTGTGCTCAGCTGCTAATGCTAAATGAGACTCCTCAGAAGAATGCAGTTAAACACATTTTGCTGTAACATTGAGGGAGGAAGTGTGTGAACTGAGACCATGAGTATTGTCCCTATGTCACCTCCTTTCTGTCCTTCACTCCTTTCAGGGCTTGAAACAGAGAAGAGTTTCCCTAAAGAGAGAAATTAAGCAGTGTGTTACCTTACCTTTCACAGTCTTGCTCTTTCCAGTCTCTGTGCTTGACTGATTTTGTCACTCTTCCTGTATCTTCTGTTCTTCCTCTGCTTGGTGGCTGCTAACCAAGACTCTGCAACTGGCTTAGAGTGCTTGAGATTCTCTTTTCTCTGCCCTTTGAACTCCTGCTTCCAGCAGCCTTTTCAGCCTGTAAGCTTGGTCTGGAGAGGGAGTTGCCAGTCAGCTCCAGTTAGTTAGTGCATCACCTCCAAGGGCCTGACTTCTGAAGGCCGTCGAGGGCTCCTAGGTGCCTCAGGCTGATGTGATGCTATTGCAGATGTGAGGGAATAGTGGTAGGTGGGTGCTTTCAAAGTCTGGTCCTCTTGCTGCTGCATGGTGCATATGTCATGGGGTGTGTGTGTAAGCCCAGCCATAGACTTGGGGATCAGATACAGGCACTGCTGTTACTCCCAGCGAGGTCAGTGAGAGTTTGGTTGTTGGCATCAATGACAGCAGAACTGGTCACCTCCTGAGAGGGTGCTGGTAACACCCAGAGCATGTGGGCTGGAGACATCCTGGGTGGCAGGGAGCTGCCCATTGTTTTCTCCATCATGCAAAATGTCCAGGTCAGAAGGAGGTCTCAACACAGCAAACAGGAGCCATGCACACCTCTTACATCCATGTTCCAGCAGCCCTTTGAGCTCAAGGTGTGTAAAGGCAATTGCATTTGTCTCGCTGTTTCTATCTGTGTCAAGCAAAGCTGCTAAATCAGTCTGTAGCACAGCAACAGGGAAAAAAGCCTCTCAGCTGTTCAGGGGCCACTCTCATGAGCCGCAGTGGCAGGTAAGCAAGTGGAAGGCTGCTGCTCTAGCTGGGAACGAGGAGCAAAGGGCTGTGCATGCCATGGCCCCAGTGATGAGAACAGCTCCTTGGGCAGAGCCCAAATCCAGTGTGGGAATTACAGGAAGCTTTTCTGATGCAGTGGCGCCGTGTCTGCCCTGCAGAACAACTCTTGACGGGGTCAGGATGGAACCGATGTAAAACTCCACTTCAGTCCAAAGCAACCAGTTTACACCTACGCTGGTGTCTGCTAGCTTAGTTTTTTCTTCAGGGTATCCAAACAAAAGTAAAGGGAGGAGGAGCCTACATCGTCGTCGTTATCAGAAATGTATCTCATTTTGCCGTACATTCCTTTTTTAGGATGTGTTATCTGTTTAAAAAAACAAGAAAAAACAGAAAAAAAGAAAAAGCTAAAAACAAAAAACAAATGTGTAGTGAAAAATCTTCTGTAACTTTGGATCAAGAGGTAACGGATCTTTTTAAAAAGAGAACTAAGTTATTTACTTTGTAAATGTGCTGATGGCATGGATCCATCTTACTGACCTCAGCATCCTTTTTTTTTAAGATTTTGGGTTTTGTTTCCAATATTAAGTTATTTTAAATTGTGGTTGAAGCAATAGAAAATTGAAATATGGATTGTGCATGACTGTGTCTTGAGTGTAAAAATATTGCAGTTTGAAACTTGGACCTAAAGTATTGCAAATAAAAGTTATAAATACCAGTGATGGTGTGGGTGCAGCTTTTCCTGCAGGACCAGCTGGCTGCAGGCCCACCAGCCTCCAGCACCTGGGGGGGAACCTCCTGAGCTTTAAGGTCTGTTCCACCCCAAACCATTGTGTGATGCTTCCAGAGAACACACACCACAGGTGGCTGGATTACTCAGTCTGGACCTATCCATCTACATATGATATACCCATACAGGGATATAAAAGATCTGTACATATATATGCACATACATAAAAGATACAGTGATATATAAAATTACACATACCTTTATATAACTGAATTTAAGTCTCATGCATATATATTATTTTATAAATAAACAGGTATATAGATGTACATATGAGCCAGCCATATACACATATATATATGACCCCTACACACTCTTCTCTGGTGACCTATGTCTGTACACATTTTATATGTATACACACAAATACAGTGGAATCCTTAGAGCTATATAACATACTCTTGCTATCAATATGTATGCTATATACCATCATTTTATAATTATGTATTATAAAGCTGTGTATTTCTATATGCGTATATACATATATGTGTGTGTATATATATGTGTATATGTACACACATGTATATGTATAGATATACATAGGTCTATTAATTAGTATAAGCACCTACTTACATACTGGTAAAATACACAATATATTACATAGACAGACTGGTCTCTGTGTATAAATAGTATATTTTTATATATAGAACATATGTGTGTGTGTGTATATATATATATACACACATACACACGCGCACATACACAGAGACCCTTATAGAACTCTATAATTCTCTTTATGGACATAAAAATGTATGATAATGTATATACACATACACTAAATATTATACATATATAAA